CACTGTTACCTCTTGTGCTCTGCTTACATGTGTACACGCCCTCGTTAGCAAAACAGAAATAATGAGCTAACTCCAAATGGTGACATTTGCTATCTTTCACTTTTAACTTCTCCTGTTACCTTTGATCATGCCATTCCCTGCTACACTTGATAAACCCATGGAAACAGAAAGTTCCCATGCATTCCAAAGTGCACGTTTGCTTCAGATTAGAAAAAAATGTTCTCAAATGCAGACCAAAGATATTTTCAAAAATATGCTTATGGGGAGATCTAGAAGTTCATTAAGGAACAAATACTATAATACAGATTTAATATACTTGGTTCGATCATGGTTCAAATGAAACATTCAGCCTCCTAGCTGAGGCACTGGAACAAAAGTTCTAAAAATTCACCATAATTCCATCACGCTTCGAGTACTTAACTCTTAAATACAAGCTATGATTGGCAAAGAGAATAAGATGACAAGCACTAAGTATGCATTACACAAAATGCAAAGATAAATAAAGATTATCTGTCTGGTAAATGAACAGAAATCAGAAAAGCCTGGAAGCCTCATGCTTCCTCATTTTTCCTTTAATGGAAAAAATTGACACTAGCTGAAAAAGCATTGATTTTCTGTGCTGCAATCTGTGGGAGTCTGCAAAATTGAAAACCAATTTTTGCAGCATACTGTGATTGTTTAAAAGAAAAATCTTCAGAGAGGTTTGCTTGAATTACCTTTTGTATCTCATGATACAAGTATTTATTTCTATTCAGACTTGTCCTTCTAAACAAGAAACTTCTGGAACCTTTACCAGTGCTTTTAAATCTGCTCTGGAATTACTTAATTGTATAACCCACCTCAGCAGCTTGACCAACAGAAATGGAAAATATATATCAATCACTGTCATTAATAAATGACACCTTACATTGCTACTACGCATAAAGTCCGTTAGGTAATAACTGATTTTCCTTGGTATGATCACTCTATGAATTTCAAAGTCTTTTGCTTACCCTTTGTGTAACTTTTTCCCTGGAGAGTGAGACAGGTTTCCATATTATCACAAATCAGTAGGTATGAAAGGAACAGATACATATATTTGAACAGACCAACTGGATTTTGTTAACTCAGAACAAAATCTGTACATCAGCACTGAAATGGAGACTGGTGATGTTCTTCTCAATGGTTTGGTATGTTTTCATTTCCTTCAGGCAGTCACCATAGGTTTGGTATAGCAATTTTGATCTAACCCTCCACACGATGCCCAGCTTTAAGCCAGGTTACAGAGCTGATAATCCCACCCTCCTTGTTCTCAGGCTTCCACAGAGGATCTACTGAGAGGGCCAAGGATGCTCATACAAGCACCAAGCCAGAATGCACGGCAGGCAGCCGGGCTGGAGAAGCTTGGAACATTACCAAGCCTGGATGTACAAGCGAGTCCATGTCCTTGAACTCAGGACCCAGATTCTGGGAGGGGTATATTAACAGGTCAGGAATAACCTGCTAGGGGCAGAGGCAGAATGATACCTAAGGCAGAAGCTGGAGAGGGACATATGAATGCTGAGAACCCAAAAGACAAATGAAAAACTGCACAAGACTCCTGCTTTATCCGTTTAAATTAGTTTGCACATTTCTGAGAAACTAATTTCTATCTATAAAGATATTTATCCAACGTTTGTTTTTTTCCTCTAGTGTTATATCACACAGCTATGACACATTTTTCACTGCAAACTGCCCAAGAACCAGCCGAGAAAACAGAGCAACACATTCCTCCAGATAGCTGCGGCCTAAGAGCTGTTTGTTTCGATCAGCTTTCAACATGGGAACATTGCCAGAGATGGCAAAGTATGAAATTGATAAATTCACCACGCCATCCACAAGCATTTCTTAGCAGAGAACATGGTTTCCACAGCCAGATGAAGAAGGAGAACAGAAGAAAGAAAAACAGAACATATAGCTTATCACTGAACACCTGTGGTGGCACTGAGAAATAAAACTTCCTTGTTGAGAGAAACTGTTCCTTTTCTAGAGAGCATAGAAGCCTAGCTGGCATCAGTCACAGCTTAAATAGTTTAGGATTACTGTGCTTTAAACCTCTTCAACTGTTGTAATATTTTAGATTAATTCTGAAAGTCCTTCAATTCCTTAAACTCACAGGCATTGCAAAGCATGTTGAATTACATGGGAAGGTTTGAGGGTTAGTCAGCTTGACTAATTCTAATTCTCATTTTCTGATCTGAAGCCTACTCTAGTAATCCAGAAATCACATTTAGCAAAATGTATAGCCAGCATTGTATTAATTGCAGGCAGAAGTCACTCATGCCATTATGAGTTCAGTCACGCAGCAATACTTATGGCGACCAGAGCAGGCATACCTTTCTTCCTCAAACTGCAATGTGCAGCTAGTTTAAAACATAAAAATTAAAAATAATAAAGCACCTTACATTTTTTTCTTTTTTTATTAAAGACTTTGCATTGCACATCACTCTGAATCACATTCAGCAAACTGACCACCAGTGTCACACATAAGGTACACTGCCAGCCATAGAGGTGACAGAGAAGCCAGCTCACCAGACCATCCTATGTTTTATAACTAATTGCCCACAGTGTATCTACAAATACAGGTCATAGTCAGGGAGAGGCTAGAGAATTTTTTTTTTTTCCTCCAGGGAGTTGGTTATCTTTGCTTGCAATTGTGTTACCAAAAATCAATACAGCAGGTGGCAGCTATTGCCTGGCCATAGTTACCAGGAGTTTACACACAGAAAAAGCACAGTTGTCAAGTGTACATGAACTCAGAGAGACTAATTTCATTTAGACAGAAGCAAGGTTAAAAAAAAAAAAAAGACTGTATGCATCAGCAACCATTACAGTGACGGATACAGAATTTGCATGGCTCCAGAACTAACATTCTAGTACTGAGGCACACTGGTACTTTACATCCAAACTCACCCTCTGAATAACCTCTAGCTCCATTTTATATCACTCCTATTCTGTTTTCAGCAACTATGTTCTGCAACTCTATTCTCCAGAAACATATTAAAACCAAGAAACATAGAGACATAATTACTTTCCAGAGAGGCACATCATGCTCATATTGGAGTCAGAGAGACCCCAAGATGACTTCACACCAACTGCCCGTTTCAAATCTCAACAAGCTGTCTTTTTTTCAACTTTTTTTCTTTCAACCAGGTGTCCTTTCCTCTGACAGACATCACCTTCTCTCACATCTGACCTGCTCCACTCTGAAAGAACCAGAATTTGTCACTAACCTATTTCAGCTTCATATTGCTGAGCTGAAAGCCCTTTTAACTGGCACATTTGTTACTGTTTCTGTAGCTCTTCACCAGTGACCTTGTCCTTCCAGTTTTCCCAGATCAACTACTACCAGATGACAAAACAACTAACTAGTACTTGACATAAAAAGAAAGAAAATAAGTAGCGCCACGCTACTTTTCTAAAGGCTTCCAACTAGAGAAAGTAAACTGAAGAAACATTTATCTCGTGGCCAAAGCCTCAAAGATGATAAACTGAGAAGATGAGCCGCTATCTGGATTTCCTTCCTCTCAATTTCTCAACTAACAGTGCCAACAATTTCCAGAAAACAAGAAACTCCCTTTTGAAAAACAGGATGGGAAAATGGAGTTAGAAGTTACTTTCTCGAAGAAGACCACAAGTTTCTCAGGCATCAAAATCCTCATATAGTAGAGTGTGGTCAGGAGGCTATCTGTGGTCTTACTGCACAAACAGGGCTAACAACATAAAAGAAAAGGTTGCGAGGCAAGAGGTGGAAACGAAAGCAAAATCACCAGCTTGGAATCATTCCTGTGAGATGTTCACAGAAACTTCTCTTGACTCAAGTTCTTTTTAGCATTATCTCACCCATGTTGGATTTGTGGCAGTGGAATAGGCTGCAAGAATAGAAACAATACACCTTCTCAGTACCACATAATCTAGTCTTGCTTTATTAAACAGGAGGGATGCAATAGGTGGCCACAAACAACTGTTCTAGCTTGCCATCCTATGAAACACACCCACAAACCGAAGTCCAGGGGAGACCATCACCAGGGACCCAGGGGAACATGACATTCATTTCCATCAACTCGATGTGGCCATGTGGCCTGAGCCTCCCACCAGGCCATTCCACCTCCAGCTCTGCCTTCTAAGTGCCAAAGGTATGTGCATGTCCTGTATCTGTTTTCCCCCCAACCACTGTTCAAGTTTTAATTATTTACTGCTTTCTTATTTAGCTGGCGGCTTGAGCCATCAAGGGGAGCTCAAAGTCCATAGTCCACATCTCAGGCCAACTAGCAGTCATCACCAGTTCCTGCAACTCTTTGGTCTCTCACTCCAAATGTATTATGAAAACTGTGAAGTTAGCAACAACTACAGAGCAAAATTCTATTGATTCTTCATTTTCCAACTCATCTAGGACTAATCAGGTCAGCAACAGCTGGGCAGATGAAGCCCTGGTCTCCTCTCAGTGGGTGAGCAGCCTTCACAAAATAGCAGAAAGTGGTTTCATCAGACCTTTCTTTTATGGCAACCTGAGCTTATTTTATCAATTAATGAAAATTTCTCAGTTCCTCATCTGAAAAAGGATGTTGCAGACTAAGATAAGTTAACTTTAAGCTGATTTACAGATCATTCTCACACACCCTTACTTTGGGTTTAGTACCTCCCACAGCAAAGCAGTCCCAAGATTGAGCCTGACTGTACTGCCAAAAAGGATCTAACACATCATTCTAATATATTTAAGTCTTGCATAAACATAACTCCATAACTCAGCCAGAATCATCAAGTCACATAGAAAAACTCCGTAGCAAAACAACAGCATTTATGTTAGAAAAGAGGGCATTTTTGAAGATAACATCTAACACAGATGAATTAATGCAACCTTCTTTACAGTTCAAGCGAACTACAACAATCAGAAAGATTAACACAGTGGAAGGGCGATAGGGGAGCATAACAGCAAAGGGACAAAAGTGAATAGAACGGTATTACAAAGGAAAAATGCTCACCCATATCTGAAGATCTAGGCTCACAAGGAAAACTCCAGAAGGAAGGGATTACCAACCAAAGATCTTTCCCCAGCAACAGTCAGCCCTTAAATGAGGTCTAAGAGAGGTGCAGGTGCAGCCAGGCTCCACCCCTTCTGGACACACAGCTGAATTGCCTTCACCTGTGCTCCCAGGACTGATGGGGTCCTTTCCCCAGGTGCTCAATCAATGCTTCAAGCTGTGACTCAGCAGTAACCATACACCAATGCATCCATTTTTTTCTTCAAGAGAAGTGCCCTCCACTAGTATTAAAATTTATTTGCCTTTGAGGAACTCAAAAAAAAAAAAATTATTTAACTTTGTTTCAAAACACCACTGTTCTCTCTGCTAGACTGAAGCATTTTAAAGAGTCAAAAGCTCATCTAATCTTTAGGCTATTACAACTGTATTACAGTTCCTGGGCAGTGGTCACAGCACCAAGCCACTGGAAAATACTTATTTTCCAAATTTATACTATATTATTTTAGACACAAGGTTTGACTTTCGTGTGGTTCCGTATGGATCCAGGATGATCCTTGGCCCTACTCAGGACATTTTGCAATTCTATGGTTCCAGACCCCTCTCCTTCCACTCTTTTTTAAACTCCAATGTTCAGCAGTTGTCAGTAGTATTTCTCTATGACTCATTTTTTCCCTACCGTACTATTTTAACTATTATATTCCACCCAGAATTTCCCTTAAAGAATACTAGTTTGACTGCCTGTGCATCACAACCCTCATGTTCTTTTCCCATATTCCACACTTCAGCTGACCTCCCTTTGACCAGCTTATCAGCTGCCAGCATTGAAAAGCTCTTCTGAAGGGAACAGCCCTAAAAGAGGGATGTGCTACAAACACCATTCACCAGGACACACACACACACTTTCTTTTTCAAAGAAAGCTCTTCGCTGCCTACATGTATATGTTCTGACATACAGGAAACAGCTGAAAGCTGTAGTTTTGTATTTACAGCTTGGAAAACATAGGTATACAGGCAGTAAAATTAATTGCAAACATACACAAATAACACCAACACTCATGTCGTGCATGCTACTATAATTTAGTATTTTTAATATTCCATAGTATTTTAACCAAATTCAGCTAACTTCAGCTGCCATTTCATTTCACCACTTCCTCCTCAATGCACCTCTCACAGTTGGACTTTCCCCATCACAAAGACGTACTTGGAATCTGCCAAAAACACAACACCCTTCACGTGGCCTGAGTATATTTACTCTCATTTGAACACAATACCTGCTGCTACCTCCTCTGACATCTACAACTTTGATATTGATAAAAGAAAAAAACCCAAAGTAAGCATTTGCTTAAGTATTCCAGTGGGAGGGTTTTTTTAAATCTCATTAAAAGCCAGCTTAAGAAAAAAACACAACCCTGGAGGAAATTCTTGGAGAAATTCCTTTTAAAAGGAATTGCCCAGAGTAACATTTCCCATGAAAATTATCTACAGAAACTACTGCTTTTTCCCATGCCAGACATCATCAAAAGCTTCAAAAACTGCAAGCATTTAGTTACTGGGAGAGAGAAAAAAAAAAACAAAAAAAAAAAACTAGGAGGCCTTCTTTTTATCACCAAGCATGCAAAAAAACCTCTGGGTTTTAGAATAGGTCTGTGTTTAAAAAGAAATACGTTAGAACAGATGGAGAAAATGGACAATATTTTGCTATACCATGTGTATGGCTTAAGGGTTAACTAAACCATTAGGACAGGCTGCTGAAGGTATGCACACACACATGAACATAGACACACACCCCTCTGGCAGCTCCTCTTATCTCCCCCTGCCGTGCTGGGGGCAGTGATAGTAGAATGTTTAGGAGGATGGGCCTGATGGTCAGCATCCCCTGGGAAATGCAGATCTCCTGGGACAAAACCACATCATACCAGAAGCCTAAGTTCTTGAAAAGCTAAATAAATATATGAAGAAAAACAAACAAAAAACAATAATATAGAGAAAACCCATGCAAATACTGCATGCATTGGGCATACAATCAAAGCCAATCACTTCTGTCACATCAAGAAACCTAGAGGCACTATACTGCAGGAAGGTGAGGCACCAAGGGACAAACAGAAGCATGCAGAAGAACTGAAGGAAAATGAAGTGGAAATGTGAATGTTCTCTGACTTCATCTCAGACCTGGGCAGAAGAAAGAAGACACATCTCCAGCAGAACATGCAGGAGAGCAAGAGGATAGGGCTGTCCCACCAAGGCTTTACCTTCCTATGGCCATGGTATCTTTGCAGAAAAGTCCAAACTGGCTGCTCAGTCACACAGTACCTTTAACACCTGCAAGCAAAATTACACTGGTATCAGCTGGATAAACAATTCATCCAAACAAACACATGTGCACATAGTACAGCCCTTCTACAGCTGCACTTGAAAAGAACCACTCCTTTCTACAAGTGCAACCAATGTTTTCTTATCCTTGCACAGAACTGATGCAAAATAAACATGAGAAAAGCAGCAATAGAAACTTGGAGGGTTAGTATTCTGACACGCATACACAGGGTACAAATGGGCAAAGAACACAAAGAGCCAGTGACAAGAAACACTACTGACAACAGCCCTACACTGCAGCTCACCAGCCCTGCAAAGAAGGACACAGGAGCCCCGCAAGAGATGGAACACGTGGGCATGAGGAACTACAGTAGCACCGAAGGTACCTCTTCAAATAAAAACCTCTTTAGAGTATGTTAAATAGTAAGCATCTAGGTTGTACATATCGCTTAATTTATCTTAACTGGAGAGAAAAGAAACAGCAGTCTTTCTCTTCTGTGAACTTTTTTAACCAAGGTGAAAGAAAGACCCATGTGTTACATGTACATAAAAGTAAATGTCCTGTTAAGCTTGTCACCAGTACCACCACGTCTGCTTAGCTACTAAGGTTAAGGTCATGTCATCCATACCAAGATGAAAACAGTTTAATTAGAGAACCCACAGCACTATAGACAAAGGCTGGTCATTAGAAAAAAGCTAATATAAACCAAGCACAATTATGCGGCATGGAAACCATCAGATATTTGATGAGATGTTAATCTTTAAGCTGGTATCATTCTGCAAGCTAATCATCCAGAGAATAGAAAATCTGTTAAGAATGCAATTAAATGTACTAGTTCCATTAAAATTGAGCTGATATAGTTAATTGTTCTCCTGAAATAGCTATTTCCTCACACCTTCGCTGGAGAGCTTTTTCATCAACTCTGTGAGAGCATATTTAAGGGACCACGTCACTCCCCTGTGCGGGACTGTGTGCTTCGATGTCACCCTTCACAAGGTGTGTTGCAGCTCGGCCCGACCTTGAGCTCCCACCTGGCCCTGAGGGAGCACAGCGAGCTCTCTTGGTGGCCGTGCCGTTGGCACCGCATCTGCATTGCCGGGCTTCGGGGAGAGCGGCAACATCGTGCTCTTGCAACACGCCAAAGCAGCTATAAAATACAACCAATGGCAAAGCCACGTCAGATGGTCGCTGTGAGCATCAGCACTTCTGGGAAACGGATGACTGCTAAACCAGCGCTATAACGAATCTGTGCGTATTCAAACAGCTCGCAAGCGTTTTGCAGCACTGCTAGAAATTAGGAATAGCAGGCCATTCTGCTTTTTTTGAGAGAGGCAGAGACTGCAAGCACAAAGGTATCCCGAGAGTGCATCAACTTCGCCATACGGCCCCGCTACGCACCGCGGCGGAGCAGAGTTTACAGGGGCATTTCCAGCCGCACCGCACTGGAGACGACAGAGCCGCACACGGGGGAGCGGGGCCGGGTCGCTCCGCGGCACCGCTTTGCCGGTTACATAATCGCGGCCGCTGCGGGTGCTCCGGTTTCGCGCCGGTCCGTGCCTCCCGCGGCTCCCGCTGCCTCACACGATCCCGACTCCGGCTCTGGGCCCGCCGCCGCGCCCCGGCTCTCTCCCACCCCTCCACCGTTCAGACGGCTGTCGCCTGGCACCGCCGAGCCCCGATGTCCGCAGCGCCCCGCGGTCTGCCCTCCGCCCGCCGCTCGGCACCCACCTCCTCTCCGGCATCCGCGGCGCATCCCCGCTGCGGCCCGGCCGGCTGCGCCCCGCCGCTCCCGCTGCCTCGCTCCCTCCCGCCAGCCGCAGCTCCCCGCCCGTCTGACGGAGGAGGCGGGAAGCCGCGTCGCGCCGCCGCCGCAGCCCCGCCGCGCCGCCCCCCGCCCCCGCCCGCCGCCAAGGTGCCCTCCTCTCACCCACCTACCACGGGGACGAGGGGCCCAGCAGGAGGGGATGGGAGGCCTCGGGGCACGACGCGGAGCGAATCGTGGAGTCGCGAAGCGGGGCTGCGGCGGGCAGCGAGCATCAGGAATGCGGCCGCCGTCAGGTCTGCGTGGGGATGGATGTAAAAGGACGTGGGCAGCCGCGGGACGTGGTGACGCGTGGGACAGCGCGGGGACCGCGCCGGAAAGGAGTCGGAGCGACGGGGCCGGGACGGCGGCGGGGGTCCGTCTGCACCGGTGTGGCTGCGCTCCGGTGAGCGCCGTGCCCGGCCCCGCGCTGCCGCTCCGCCCCAGCGCTGCTCTTTGTCCTCTGATAACGGGAGGTTGGGGGAGACACGCGCCAGGTGCTCTCGCAAACCGCGAGACGTTCCTCCCTGGGTTTACATTAGCTTGCTTTTTCTTTTCTTTTTTTTTCTCCTCCTTTCCTGCAGATCTGCCGTTACAGCCCTCGTGACAGCCATCCCTCCCCCGTCCCACCTCGGCCGGCAGAAAGCCAGGCCGCTCACGCACAGCTGCAGCCGAGAGCCACGGCTCGCCCAAACGGGCCAGGATGCGTGCGTATCCATTAAAAGGTATTAAAAGACCCAGAGAAGGAAATGGTGGTGGTAATGTCAGTAATACAAGGGGAAAAAAATATGGCATAGTCCATAGAAAAAGTAGTGAAAAACTTACCGGGTTCCAGCAATGCAATTACTGGGCCCAGACCCTTCCTTAAAGTGAGGTAAACAGGCTCTATGATGATGCTTTAACTTTTCCCTCATTTCTTCAACTAGAGATCCCAGATTCAGTGTCACTGCTGTACAGCAAAGGACCATATTGCAGACTGTGTCATACAAAGTCCTGGCTCTTTTCCTATTGAAGCTGAGACAGCCAGAGCAATTCTTCTTGACACAGTCTCCTTAGTCCAGCAGAAGCTTCCCAAATGAAAAAGTATATGTAATCATTGCCACAGCTGATGCTGAGAGGGAGACATCAAAGTAAGTGTAGTATAAAAACACAGATTAAGAAAAATCTCATACTTTAAAGTATGTATTTAAAGTATTAAGTAAATCTCATACTATTTAAAGCTTAATATCAGAAGTTTAATTTTTTTCTCCTATATGAAATAAAGAACAGGGCAGGGAGATAAAGGACACAGCTCTTAATCATCCCTTAAGGACAGCATTCAACACCACCACTAATTTCAGTTAAGTGGCCACTCACCATTACCGACCTGAAAAAGAAAACCAAGGACAGAAATGTGTATTTGGTAATTATCTGCCATGTTTCAAACAACTTTTGTGTCTTCTAACAATCTCAACGTTAAACTCCTAAGTGGGTATCCTATAGAGTTGTGTTTTTTTCCCTAACTTGCCAACACTTAAAATGTATAGAAAAGCAGATAAAGTGTTTCTTTCCAATGATAATTCTTGATCGTACATAATTATCCAGAAGCATTCCTTCTAACAGAAGGCTGTAAAACAGTTTTCTACGCAAAGATATTTTCTCCTGTCCTAGCAGTAGCGTTGTTTCTCCACTGCTGCTCGTTGTTAGCATTGGTGCATTCATTTGGGACACTGCAGTCCTCTATTCTGAGTAGCAAAACCAGGTGAACCTCCAGTTTCCCTCTCATATTCTGTCTACTAAGCACATCACTGGTTATCTTCCAGTACTCCTTTGGACTGAATTATTTAGAATACTTCTGAGTGAAAATCGTTGCACCTAAATAGCCTAAAATTCCTTCTGCAAGGACCAGTAATCTCTGAATTCTCCCGATGATACTCATTGTAAGAGCCAAAGCAAAGACTTGAGCAGCTATAAAAGGTCCTCACAGTAGTGAGCAAGTGGGCAGAGAGACAGAAAAAAATTCTATGGCCATAACTGCAAACTAAGTAGCAATGAAAACAACCCTTGCTAAACATGCATAATGGACTCTAAATTAACCTTTTTCATTGGGAGCTGTTGTGAATAGCTTTCTGCAAACATTAGCTTGCTGCTCAGCGTTTGTTGGGAAGGCAAACAATGTTAGGAATTACTCCAGAAGCAAATGAGAACAAAGTAGAATGGCTCATTGCATTGTTGTGTAAATCTCTTGCGTACTTCAGTACTGTGTATGGTTCTGGCTCCTTCATATGGAAATGGAGAACAAGAAAACGTATGGAGCTAAAGGAATAGTCAGGGGTATGGAATTCCATCCATGTGAGGAGAATCCCAACTGTGAAACAGAGAAGGGATTGCGTTTGGATCTATACAGTCACGAATGAGATGTAGGAACCCGAGAGGAAACAACCATGTACCATTTTTCATTCTACAGGACCTGAGGGAGACAAAGCTAATGATCAGGCAGCAGGTTTAAGACAACAGCTGCAAAGAACTTTGCTTTATGAAGTGTTATTAAATTGCTTGGCTTGCTGTGACACAGCACTATGGAGCTGAAGGCACAGATGTTTTTAAACAGGGATTACATGAAGGAATGAACAATAACTTCAGCTATTAAGCACATTAATTTCATTTTCAGTGCCCACCTATTGCTTGCTAGAGCTGTAAGAAGGGACACTCTTGACGTGCCTTGTTCCAATGCTCCCCTGATCATCACATCATTGATTCTTATCTTTCTGCTCAGGTGTGAGAAAGAAAGGTCAAACAGATTTGTCAAACAGATTTCTAGGTATGGAAGCATACATCTGCCTTTTCCCATGTCCTGAGAGAAAGATCATAGTAGTTCCTTATCTTCCTGTTTGAGAGTTCTTCCATGCCCCTGAAGAGAATGCTTTCCCAGTGGTTCTCTAGTGATTAGCCCTATTCAGTAGTGACAATCCATATACATCAGTCATCCACATCAACACTGCTTTCTGCTCCCCTTCACAGAAGAATGGGGAGAGAAATTCTGAAGTGTAACATGCTCAGAATATGTTGAAAATACTTTCCAATTCCACAGATCATAAAAATAAAATTCCTCGGACATCCTGAAGGAGAAAGGGATAGTAATTTCTTCTTGATTAAGAAATAGTAAAGTAAAGCAGAAACACACAAAGATGCTTTAAAAACTAGCAGCGGGTAAAAGTCCTGCATAGAAACCAGTTTCTAAGAACCATGTTAGAGATGCCCTTATTAAATACAAGAAACTGGAAATCTGACAAGCAAATCTGAAATGAAGTTTGGCAGAACTCCAAGAATCCTTGAAGACAAACATATGATAAATCAACCAGAGTGGTTACATCTCATATAAACAAAATCTGTATGGTTGATACTCTGTACAGCTAGTTATCTCCACTGAGAAAAGAGCTCGTTTCATACCTTATTTCAGCAATAGATAGTAATGCCAAGACTTCATGTTCAGCAGAAGTTAAATGATTCCTTTTAATGTTTAGACGACTGCGAAACTAAAGTAGTATAAACTTGTTAAATATATACACATATGTGAAGATTTCTGATGCTTTCTATATATACATATAAATAAAATTAAGCGGGCACTATGTAGTACAACTGAAATTGTATTGACAGCAGAAGATATGAGGAATATTTTTAAAATATGCAATTGATATAACTTTTATTATGAAATGGAAAGAAACGCTAAGACATGTATGCTTTTAGAAGTCTATAGGCATGATTAAAACTTGAAAAAAGTCAGCAGTTCAAGACAGAGTACATGCTTTTGTATGCCATCGCCTTTGATTTTGTTTCACTGATTAAATATAACTACTCTGCTCCTGCTGTCCCTATATGGAACAGACACGTTAGGAAGGGGATTTAGTGTACCCATGATGAGGACAATCAAAGATCTGATACTTAAAATAACTTTCAGCTTTCTTTCAATTTTGTCTGTTGTTTATCATTTTACTTATGGAAAATATTTCCAGCATGCATTTGCATTTCCAAATAGAGTTTTTATGTCCAAGTGACTAAATATGCTCTGTTAACATTGTGCTGGATTTCTTAAAGTGACAACCCAAAATGTTACCAATTAGCAGTTTCAGAAAGCGGAACTCTGTCAGATTGGTTGGAAGGATGCCCAGGATATCTTCTTTACCCTCATGGTCGGGATTTGTAAACACTTTCTCTAATTACAGAGCAGATCAGGTCAGCAATTAACTCTTTTAGTCTTAGCAAGGCCCTGCAGATGTTCTGTATTAAGAAAGTGTTTCTCCGGTGCTGTTGCACCTTATAGTTGAATATTTCCCTACGGGTGGACTACCTCCTGTTTGCCAACAGGCAAAGTGCACGTATCCTGAACCTTACATTGTGTAGGTTTGTTTTAAAGACTCAGAAAACTTGCTACAAGAGAAGAACACAGCAACTTTGCAAATCAACAGGAGACCATTCATCCCAAAGCGACCTCCTGGGAAAGTTATCACTTGCAGCCGTATAGTGGCATTGCAGCTTAAAGCACTGCTTCCACATTTCACCCTATCTACTTCATGTCTTCTGCTGAATCCTTACCAATTCCTAGATCACCTTTCTGAGAACCTCAAGAGAGCTGAGAACCTGCCTTACGTTCTCTTGAAATTGCTGCCGTATATAATTGCTTCTTACCTTTTCTGGCGTGCCGAGGAGAGCAGCTTCTCCCAAGAAGCCTGGGGGTCATAATGCCTTGCTGGAACTAGCAAGTTAATTGCCAAGTGAAACTCAGGGATTTCTGCCCAAGCTCAAGTTTGCAGATTTACAAGAATAAACTGAGTTAAAAGAAGTTTGAGTAGTCTGGTGCTTATCATTAAAAGAAATAACAATCACCTTACTATTTAGCTCTTACTTCACTGCAGAACAATTTACTTAAGTACAAAAAAAGCCACTTCTAAAAACAATCATTAGCTCATTCTCTGTTCCAAATTTCCCTGTTAACATTACTATTTTATTATTATTATTATTATTATTTTTAAGTTCTTGTCAAGTTTTAAATGAGAATTTTCTCCTGGCTGAATTTGACTTTGAGATCATACATACAGATTTATTCAGCTTTCAGTATAACATATCAGGATGCTACACTGGGTTAGTATGCCATTATGTTCTTGGATCCTCTGTTTAACATTTCAGAGGTGTTAAGAAGTGGTGGGGCAATTATACCAACAATTAGCAAAAACCACATCAAAACAGCATGGTCGACAATCACATAAACATTCAATTGATACGGCAATTACTTGTAATCCAATTAGTGTGGTTACTTACAGTCCACATCCTAAGTGCTAAATAGTGGTACTTGAGCACTGTTACCCACAGTGGATGTTAGCTTAATAACTTCTAACCTCTTTCCCACCCAATGTTGACTGACAAGCTACTCAGAAAATCCCATCCATAACCACCTTTTATTGTGAAGCTTTGTTGGTTGCGCTAAAAGCCTTGTTAAAGAGCAAGAATATTGCAGTTCCCCTTCGTTCACAGTAACATGGGCCTATAGGAACTACTACTCAAATTTCCAATTTTATCATTTAAAAATAAATACAATTCAGGGTGTTTTTTAAATGGGCTATCTTGATTACACTATGTATTTTACTCGTTTTCTGCTTGATACTTATTAAATAAGTTGCCCACAATTTGAGTTTTTAAGCTCAAATGTAACACAGAAATTTAATTTTACATTTTTTTAAATCATCTTACAAGCTAGCCAGTGGGTCTAAAATTTGCCATTCCTTTAGAACACTCATTGATTTCCATTAATATTTTTTCCCTCACTGATATGGCAATCATAAAAAGTCTCCATGTGTAGAAGCAGCATTTAGCAGAATTCGACAGCTCAATGGCAGCAAAAATGCAATCTATGCTATGCCATGTAGAGTCTTAATGCTCTGTATTAATTTATGGCGTTTCAGGTTTGCTTTATTTTTTTTTTCCTCCATCTCCCTTGACAGTGTAAAGCACCTGCTTCCACATTACATGAAACAATTACAGAGAAATTCTCCAGTCCACACTGATACATATAAATTATATACGACTTTTCTTTCCTGTAGTTGTTTCCATTCAAGAGCAACCTGAAAGCTGTGTTTCTGAACTGTGGGATGCATAGATCTTACAGTACTGAAGTTATTTTAAAGCTGTGATTTATGGTGTTTATAAAGCACCAAGGCCATAAAGGACCCCTCCAAGCAGCTGCTCCTCACAGCTTCCGTGAAGTATTTTTAGCCAGGCAGAGAGCAAAGCTGACAAGTGCTCTGTGTTACACAGAGCAGCATGTCACTCTTAACTTGTGATCACCAACACAGAGCTGCCTCATTTCATCTTCTAGGGCTTCAGCTGCCAAAGCTGTCTGCGAGCACCTGTAACTTAGAAGCATAGAGAAGTGCCAGGCTTGCCCTATGAGGCCTGAATCTTCTCTGTAAGTCAAGCTGAGTTTGCTGTATTTGTTCCTGCCAAAAGCACAAACTCTGGATGAGGTACCTGATGCAAAATTGTGCTTTTAAATTGTTCAATGACCTCGAGGCAGCTGCAGCCATGGGCTGGGCTGTCAGTGCCAGGAGAAGCAACAGAAACACCATGCAGCTGAAGAACAAAGAAGTTGCCCAAGACAGAATTGCTCAACGGAAAGCACACATTTTTGAATAACAGATATGGGTTTAAATGCAATCTTGGTGCAATAATATTAAGAATGTGCTTATGAGAAGTACATGGTGCGCCATACAGTGAACGCTATGTATTTGAAAAGAAAGGATAAGACAACACTGAACATGTTGCAGAAAAACTTATAAGGTTCTGTGGTTCATTCATGAAGTTATCTATCCACAAAAAGGCTCAAAATCCCTGTGCTCAACACCGGCAGCAGGGAATAATTGGCTTCAAGATCACCACAGTTCTCTCCATCTATTCTCCCTTAATATTTGTTTTTTGCATTCACCTGTTTCTCACAATATGAGAATTGATTTTCCCTAGGAAGCCCCCCCACCCCCCAAGCTTTACCTCTTCAATTAAGACCGTTCTCCATTTTGTTGCCTCAAAACCAGATATTTTTTATTAGTATAGCTTCCCCTTTCCCCCTCCCCCCCATATTTTATCTTTCTTCTGATTCTCTTCCTTATTCTTCCTCATTCTCTCAAATTGTCACTGACAAATTTCTACTAAGAAATGACAAAAATATTAAGAAATGAGAGAAAGAGGTGTTTTTTATACACTGTTCTTGGGTGTCTACTAAAATTTTTCTACTTTCATGATAGTTTTAAAGCTATCAGGCTAACTATGCAGAAGTAAGGCAAGGCTCTGGAACAACAAGGTAAAATAATCAAACACACACATAGAACTCATGCAAGTGAAAACAGATTATTTGTATTTCAAAAATAAGTGGCTGTCGAAAAAAAAAATTAAGAAGTAATTCACAGGAAGAAGATGAACTAGGATTCTGTCTTCTCAATCAGAATACCAGAAAAAGGTTTTGAATCATGTGTTAAAAATTGAGAATCGTCTGAGGGTATTTCAACCTATGAATGCAGAAAACAGTCCCTTTCTTTTCAAAATCCTACATTTGAGTCGATTATGTTAAATGGGAGTAAGATAATTTCAATAGTAGTTGCATCCTATGCACGTTAGGTACATCCAGGAGACCAGAGACCTCTGCTGGAAAAGGGGGGTGAATTACCTAGCAAGGCTGTAGGCTGTGCCTTTGCTATACCATTCAGTCAACTTGGTACAGTTAGCCTTCCATTCACTTATAATTTTTTCTTCAGTTAGTTTTGCAGACATTTTTAATCAGTATAACTGCAACTCAAATGTGGAATTCCATGGGGAACTTCAGCAGGGTCCCTGACAAAGCATTTAAAAGTTTAGAGAAGTGGTATGCTGAGAACATGCAATGCTCTCAAATTGGACATAACCACATGCTTTTTTCACCTTCAGCTGCTTCCATTTCCACAGTTGTTCTTTTTCCTTTTGCCTCTTATATACTGACATAGTAACCTGGCACTGCAGACATTAGATGGTATCTCTGCAGACAGAGCAGAAATATGACTGAATATCTTGGGTCAACAAATGGGCCATTAACAGGAAGAGAAAGAGCCTGGGCTCTGCTCCCACTTTAGGTACTCCAGTAGCACCCTGTTAGCACCGAAGAGAAAAGTCTCAGGGAAGAAATCCAGTGGAGGGACTAACTGCAGTCAGACTGTCAAAACACAGCTCTGGAGAACAGCCTTATTTCACTTAATGATCAGATATACTTTAATGTAGACATTGTGGCAACGTAAACAAATTATTAGTATCTTTCTACAGTTACACAAGCAAAAGGCACTCCTGCAGACCATGCAGGTGAGAGTCAGTAAATGGACAAAATTTCTAGTGGACATCATTTAGCATAATTTATGAAAAGTATTATCTCATTTTCAGAAGGAAAATGAGATAATCTGCTGCTGTTAAATGCCAGCAGAAGCTACAGTTGATGAGCGCAGCTGAAATCGAAGTCATTTACAGATAAGCATGCAAAATTCTACTTACCACCATTACCGTGCTATTACTGCAAAACAGCACAAAAAAATTATGCAGTTCTTGCCAATTCACTAACCACCAGCAAAAGCAATATAGATTATACAGTTTTTGTTTTTTTCCTCCAGTACCTAATGCTTACACTCTCAGAAGACAGAATTATCATTTTCTGATGAAAAGGCCTGGAAAAGCAATGTGACAGCTACTTAGTGGCAGTGCTACAAAACAATTTAAACAGGCAATAATGAATATCACATCTAACCAGAAGTGCTGGCTGACTTTAAAACAGCAAAATGTATTTACACAAACTGGCATTTATCTGGAGACGACCAGTATATCTGCACTTCCAGAAAAGACACTAAACTCTTAAGAAAAGTCAGTCAGTTTTGGTTGTAAGAATATTTTAAGATCTGCTAGCAGAACACTACAGATGACTTCATGTTAGTCACCTAATAGACTGATGCAACATCATCCCAAAAGAAAAAATACCATCTGCTTGCAGTTACTTCTTATGGCATCCTGAAGTCTCAGTACAGAAAATGAGGCAATTTCTTCCTTCCCAGTACCTGCCCAAAACCATTTGGAGCAAGACCTGACCAAACAGCCTGAAGTAGGACTACAGATCTCCCACATTTTGATCTCTCCTTTGCATCAACTAAACAAATAGGAACTTTAATGTCACCTTAGACTATAGATCCTGACATAGCAGGGAGTCACCAAAAAGAGCAATTAGCAGGTTGGTTGTTTTTTTTTTTTTCCCTGTCTGTGCAGAGATTCCCATTATTTCACCATAATAACACGTGCACCTAAACTACACATGCATCACTACACTATGCTTTAAAACATCCTCTCAAACACAACTCTGTTCCAAACTCCCTGCTTTGGGCAAAGAAAAACGTTTCTGCATTTTATATCCAAGCTTTCTATTCAGACAACAGAAAAGTGCAAAAGTCTCCAGAACCTAAGAAAAGTTTAGTTTCAGTGCCTCTGTAGCATCATGCATAGTTACCTCAAGTTTGTAAAAAATAAAATAAAAATAAGCCATTGGACCTTCTGCACTTATACTGCAAAGATTTTTGCACCAGCACAGAACATCACCATTTGCTTATTCCCGATGCAAAGATGCACTGCATCATGCACATTCAGCAGCATGCCAGAGCTGCTATACCAACAGGACAGAATGACTGTCACTTTTGCACAGCAGAAACAAAGCTTTCCAAAAATACTGCACGCACACACAGCAGAGTTAAGTCTGCAAAGATACCGCTTGACAATTCTGGAGTTTTAGATCTATGCATCCTGGTCAGCACTGTTCCCCTGAGGAAACATAAGAAAGCTCCATACTTACTGAAAAGGAAGGAAAAAAAAATAATCCAAAAAGCAGAATTTTTCCAGAGGAACTCCAAAAAAAAAAAAAAAAAAAAAAAAAAAATGGTAGCACCTGTCACAAACAATCTCAGAGTCACAAAGATCCAGTTCTCCAGGTTTAACCATAAAGCAGTTTTGTTCACTATATGAGTTCTGAAGTCTACAAGATATTAAGCAGAAATTTCACACTCTCCTTCAACCATGCTACCCTGATACAATTCAATTCTTTGTGCTAAATGAAACAATTACTCTTGGGGAAAAAAGCTGCTGGTGAGTCATCAAGGACCGTATCATAACACATCAGGGGAAGAGTTAAACAAGGTTTTTTAGGCAATCTTCCTTCTGCAAGTTAATACTTGCAGATTTGAACTTAAAAGAATGTTTAACTTCAGAAATAACACTACTTTGTACTTTTTTTAAAATATACAGTTTGTCACTTAAAATTTAAATTTCTGAACTAATGCAACAACAGCTTTCATTCTTACCTACTATCTCTAAGGTAAAAAAAAATTGGTACTCTTTATACATATTTTAGAAAGAAAAAGTGAAGGTTTAACATGCCTGCATTTTACATAAAAGAGCAACTCACTGGACACTCCAAAATAATGCAGCATATAAACTGTTCTGTAGTGCCTGTAAATATTATTCTAATTGCATTAATTTTACAGTAGGCCCATTCACATTACACTACTAGAAGGCTAATCTAGAGGACTTTGTCATTATTATTATGGCAGTACTTCAAGACAGCTGACTGTGAAGCACCAAATGATGAAGCTGTATATTTGAGTAAGCATATTTTTGGTCCTCAGTTGAGTTGGAGATATTTACTGATACCTTAATTCCTCTTCTCCTTCAACAAAGAAGAAAAGGCTATCTGCCACAGGTAAAAGCTTAACAAGACACAAAAATATCACTTAAAAGACATTGTGCTTCTGCACATTGACTACTTAGGTTGGGAAAGTCAGGGGCTTGGAGCACTATAGGGAAGGCTAGAAAGATTTCTTGTCAAGAACTAGTTGTCTTGGAAAGAATAAGAGGGACTGAGAAGATAACAGACTCTATAAAGGATAGAACAATGCTAAAACTCAGAGAGCTACATGGAAACAAATGCCAGGTTCTTCCCAGGCAGATTAGTCATGGGACTACATTCTCACCTGCCTGTGGGGTGGAGATTTTTTGGAAGGACATCTTTCTGAAGGTGCTCAGAGACAGAGGAAGTTGTGGATGCTCAGCTACTTATCCCCATTTGAGGGTCAAGGGATCAGCACTGGAGGAGTTGGAAGCCAAGTACATCAAAGAGCATGCTTGTACCCCAGTGTGCATGCAGTTAGAATTTCAGTTTTATCTATAGACATTTAATAACAAGTTTTTCAGTTCAACAAATAGCATTCAGGAAGTATTTGTATTTGACAATTATCTTTGCAAATACTTATTCAAATTATCTTTGTTTACTCTTTAGCAATGCTCAAATCCTCTTCATCTTCCTGAAATACTGAACTGTTGTTCAATTACCCAGTTCTTCAACAATGTATTCATTGAGAGCTTCTTAAGAGAAGTCAAAGAGGGGGAAAAAAAACATTCCCAGACTCCATAATTTCTCTGTAGTTACAATGACAGTACCTCAAGAAAATGATAAACGCAAGCAGCTTTGACAGCTTGACCCATAGTTAAACGTTCTTTACACTAAACAGCATATAAAGAAAATTAATACTCTTGGTCTAAGTCAGTGAAATATTCAAGACTGTACTTGAATCACTTTCATGAGTATGGCTTTTCCACCAAATCTGACTTAACACTCTCAAACATGCTAGTAGTTTTTGAAATAGCTCTTTCACTTTCTTTTCATTTACTGCTCTACTTCAATGCAATTCTGACCACTGGAAGTGCCTTTGATACAGAGTAGTTACAATTTGATTCATTATCAATTAACCAGGTCAAGCCACAAAAACCTGACTCCCATCACTGCTATTTCCATGTTTGTGGAACTTTGTTTAGCACAAGAGATTTATTTCTGGAATACAAGATAACAGGATTCTACACGAACAACCATCAGTATACAATTTTAAAACTGCTAGATTCTTTAAAAACTGCATGTCCACACTTCTTAAAAACAGAAAGTATGATATTAGAGTAACAATGCAAAAGAAAGGGAAGAAAGAAAAGAAAAAGATGTCACTGTCCCCAGGAACCATGTCTAGTCACGTTTCAGTCAGTCAGTCAGTCGAGGGTCATGTCATTATTTAGTTCTGCAGAAAAAACACAAGCACAAAAATAGTATCAAAAAGCAACGTACCTATTTGCGTTACAACAGCCTACGTGAGAAAGGCTTTTAACACATTCAGAATAATATTAAGTATCATATGTGTGTCCTCTTTTTTAAGAAGGAAAGTGCCTCATTCTGAGCAAGTGCAAGTCAGCAATTTTCCTACAGTATAGCTGATAAAAAAATATTTGAAAAATTATTATTTTGGCATATTTTTCAACTTCTATGTAATTACTATTTTAAATATTTTTGCACAGCAGTAAGTCATTATGCACACACATTAAACTTGAATTTTCATTAAAAAAGATTTAAGTGAATGAAAACAATACAAATCAACTCAGAGATTTGTGATTCTGTGATTTGTGTTAAAAGGCATTTTCTAAATTCTGAATTTTTGTTTTTAAACATTTTCTACAACAGTAAGAAGGATGCCAAGTACTCCTTTCACTTATCTCAGTAACCTTCACCAATAGCCAAACCCTCAGTGAATTTGAAAATCCTGCACAATCGTTTTCATGCTCTGATGTTAGCAGTGTTTGGAAAATTAGAGGGTAAGCAGACAATCTAGTTTTAGTAACAAAAAAAACTGTTTAAAAACAGGACAGTAGAGCTAATCATTTCATTCTTTCCCTCCCTCCTCCCTCATTAATACAGTGGACTAAGTGGCTTCTGCAGCCAATGGAAGTCCACTGTCTTGGAGCAATAACCAAAACTTTCCACCCTGTACTTGCTTCTTATCTATGACAGACTCACAAATATTCTTTGTATTGCAGCGCAGTGTAAAACACTAACCAAGTTTATTGACATTTTAAAGCAGAAAGCACCATCATGCATTCAATTTCAGTTTTTAAATATCCCAAACCACAAAAATAAATACTGTTAGCCTAGAATCAAGACACAATCCTAAATTATTTATGTTTTGCAAAAATGCATGATTTTTCCTATATAAAGTCATCTGACAGGTAATTACCATTAGAAAGAGCCACGTTTTTTTTCCTACTCTGTGAATACAGAATCACAGAGTCGTAGGGGTAGGAAGGAACCTCTAAAAGTAATCATGTCCAACCCCTCTGCCAAAGCAGGCTCCCTACAGCAGGTGAATACATCAGGCATCAGCTTCCTGCCACAGGATCCTATATATTATCACTAAAAAAAAAGTAATTAAACAACACATACCACCTTTTCTCTTTATTTGAGCATATTTACAGATTAAGAATGGGTCATGTCTTCAGACTCAGTCCTCCTAAACTCAGGTTTCAGACTATAAATAATTCTTTGGTCTGTTATCATTCAGACAGATAACCTTTACAACATGAACACTAATGCTTTCTCTAATACTAACATTCCCTCCTACTACATCCAAGAATTTCTCACTAAACCCAAGAATTCTCTCAACTCTTAACAACTTGTTTGCATAGCAAGCAATGAACTACCTGGAAACTCCACATCACTTTCAGTCATTACTTTCCAGAAAGCCAATCTTACAAGTAATAGGCAGTGTCATCTTCACTCAGGACACAACTGCAGCCTGCAATTATTTTTTTCAAGAATTAACATTTTCTGAGGCTTATTACTAACTCTGGATGTTTTTATCATATCTATACTTTTATAGTAAGAAGTAGGTTTTTTGCAATAAAGACAGAATTGATTTTACATTACACTTCAAATCATACCTTCCCCTATAGGGACAGAAAGATTTGATCTTTTATTATAAGTTAAAAAAAAAAAAAAAAAAAAAAAAAACACACATTTAAGAATAAAACTTTGTAAATAAAAATAAAAACAAGGGTATTAATTGCATTTACTGGAACTGACAATTTTCACGTTTCAGAAGAGTTTTAGCTCCAATTCCATGCATTTGTCTTTTTATGTACCACTTAAAAAAAAAAAATAAATAAAAAAAATAAAAAGACCTTCAGAAACTGCTGCTTATCAAAAGAGAAACATGGAAGTCCTTAGGAAAAGAGAGAGAACGATGCAGGTGAAATCTTTTTTGGCCTTTATAACTCCTAGGTC